GGCGCCGCCCAGGTAGCCGGCGATGTAGGAGCCCGTGGAGTGCCGGTTCCCCGCGGGCGGGGCCGCTGCGGGCCGGTGTCGCAGGATCACTCCGCCCTCCGGGGCGGGGTTCACGCCCTTCTGCTTGTTGGCTTCCTGCTTTTCCTTGGCACGACTGGCAATGTTGCGCACCCTGCTCTGACTCCTGGAGGACAGCTTTCTGACCAGCGCCTTGGGGAACTGACTGGCATCCTGCTTTGAATACAGCACTTGGCAGCTGTCCTCCTGGTCGAAGGAGACAAGTTTCCTTAGCTGCTCGGTCAGGGCATCCATAGGCTCTAAGGACCCTGTCTTCATAGTCACACCCTTCCTGTCTCTGATGCCGGTTGTAACAAAACTCTTACTAATGCACTGGTACTTGCTTTCAAAATTGCAGGCAATGTCCTCCGATGTTAAGTCCCCCAGACTTTTGGATTTGCAAGGACTGGGCAGCTTCAGAACAGGCAGGGGAGGGTGTGGGGATGGCTTGGGCACAGGGGCATGCAAGTTTTGAGCACTGGATGGGGGCCCACAGGTCTGGTTCATTTTGGCATCTGAATTTGAGAAGTGCTTGTGCATAAAAGCAGCACCCTGATAGGCTAGAGAAGAAATACTTTGATTTTTGACATCTTGAATATCATTGAATATTTCAGAGACAGAAGGGTGGAGAGTCTCTTTAGAGTAGCCGTTTCTCAAGCCTCTTTGAAAATGTTCCACCACATCCTGACTGTACTTGAGTTTTAAAGGAGAAGCCAGGTGACTCGTGCCTTCTGGCCTATATTCATAGGTGGTTACAGACAGATTTTCTGAGTCTCCACCCACTTCCACGAGACTGCTTTCCCCAGAAACCAAACCGAGAGCGGGATCGGCTATCGCATCTCCCAGTGTCAGGTCAGTGGAAGAAGCAGGGCCGTGGATCTTCAGTATTTCCCAGTCTTTCCCACTGGTGGGAGTTTTGGGTAACCAGCAGTGAGAAGTATTAGAGGGAGGAGGCGGGTTGCTTTCCAAGGCCCCTGTCTTGGCCTTACCAGAAGGGGCATCGTCTGGTTTGGTCTTAGAGTCATTCCGAGTGCAGGCGGTTTCACAAACAACTGTGCGTGCTGAGTGTTCGGCGGTCTCAGGACCTAAGAATGCGACCCGCTCAGGAGAGGAACACAGTAAGGATGACTGGGGTTTCCCCTTGGAAAAGCCATGCTTGAAGGGCATTTTTAGGTCCACGGTGGGCAAGGGAGGATGGCCTGACCTCACACTGGTGCCATGAAGCTGAGAAACAACGGTGACGTTCGCCTGATCCCTGGTCTCATCAAACTGGCCAATCAGTGCTGAGACGGAGCTGCCCGGCTCACTCTCATTGGTAAAAGTGACATTGTCAATAAGATGGGAAATGTCACTGTCCCGCAGGATGGCGGTGGAATGTAACTCAGGTGTGTCAGAACAGAGCGCAGAGACGTCTGACAGAGAAAAAGATGCCGCAGCTCTACCCTTACCCCAGTTACCTTCCACATTTTCCATCTCCAGATCGCTCTGCGAAAGGATGCTTCCCGACAGTGTGCTTTTCCCTTCCACAAAGCCCCCAGCGATGCCGTTTTCCTTGGCTGTCACACCACACAGATCTTGTGTTAGGCTGACTGCAGGGTCAAGGGCCAGGTGCTGCCCTGGGGACAGGGATTTGCTGGGGCAGGGGTGTTCCTGGCCAGCACCTGACACGGCTGATTTGGTGCTCCCACCCTTGGGACCTGGCGCTCCCACCTGCTCTGGGGCTGGCAGGTTGGCAGTACAAACAGCAGAGTCCCCTTGGCCGATGTCTTTGTGGAGAAGAGCGCTGGAGGAAGAAGATAACTTTTTGTTGAAATCTGGAAAATGCTGGTCTTTTATACTTGCCTTCCCGTTTCTGAAGCCATCCTTATCTTCTGCTGAAGGAAACAAACAACATTTTAGGCGACATGTAGCACTTTCTGTAGAAGATGCAAACACTCATGTTTGTCTTCAGACAGACAAATGGAGAATGTAAATCTGTTACACTGTGACTGAATATAAGTATGGATTGTACAGATTTGCAACAACATATCTGTGTGATGAATAAATGGTAAAATATATTTATAGGAATTTCGCTGAAGTTTCCCTTTGCATAGCTATTACATCAGTTAAGGATGTAATATTCATTACCAAAAAATGTCAATGAGTTACCATACTTTTACAGTGAGGATTACCTTAAGTTGTTTCCTATTCAGATTTGTACTACACAGAAGCATGGCAATAAAAACAGAACGAGACAGCTCTGTTAAACAAAGTACTGTGGCACCTGCAAGCAAGATACTATAAGCTTTCACAGTTAAGCATGAATTAGTAAAAAGCACAAATCATATTATTTCTAAAAAACATTTTGGCAAAAGATCTAATTTAATTAATTTCTAAAACAAATTGGAAGGTGTGACAGATATATTAAAATATCAATATATGCTGGCTTTAGAACGTAAAATTGAAGAATTGGTCACTAATTCTATGCCATTGTGAATACCTAATTTTCTGTAAATCTTTTTTTATTTTTTTTTTAATACACACATTTCACATTGCATTCTTCCATAAAAGAGGCAGTAAAATATCAGGCACAGTAAGGAAAACAAAAAAACACACAAATCACAGCAATCTGGGTTACCCCATCATGCTTAGGATAGTGCTAAGACAATATTAGGTGTTTAAATACTCTTGATCAGATTCTTTTAACAGTGTTCAAATACTTTCAGTCATAATATACAAAAAAGAATTGGTTTAACTTAGTAAATATTTTCCCAACTAAAAAAATTCATCATAAAAATTTGATAAACCAAAAATTATAAGGAAAAAAATTAAATATCCTATGATGTTACCATTCAGAGACAGGCACTGCTAGTTTTGGAGGGAACAGCCTATGTATAGAATTTTGTATTCAGCATTTTCTCCACTTAATGTTTTTTCAACATTATAACTTGAAGCATCCATGGCTATGATTTGCTCTATATTTGCCACAAATTTTATCTATACATATATATATATATGAATGACTAACTTATATGATTGTTTTTTAAACGGAAGAAAGAAACATCTCAATATTGCTTTCTAACTCACCTTAATGATATTAACATCTTAATTTCAGCATTAACAGAATTGCTACCCATTTCTGTTGAATATAGCTTTATTTTCCCCCATACTCCATTTGGGGGACATAAATTTTGAAGCACATATTTCATCTCTTCTCTGATATTACTCTTAGCCAAATTTCAGACTTTTAAACTCCCCTTTCTCATTCAAATACACCATTCAAAAATCGGTTTGTCTCCCTAGAATATCTTAAAATAAAAACCAATACAAACAAAAAGGTATTTGCAAGGAAATCGATCATTGAAATTAGATTGCATAATAAAAGGAGAATTTCCTAAAGGAAACAGGTATCACATTCTACTTGTCTGAGATGATTCTGGGTTAGTTAAAACATACCTGTTGCAGAGACATCAAATGGCGCTAAGTTATCTATGAATTGGGAAGAGGAGTCACCAGCGCAAGTTGAGAATTCTTTGGAACATTGCAAGGCAGGCATCGCTCTTTACCAAGTTCTTCATATGAGTGAAGTATTTTGCTCAAATTAGGGAAAAGATGGGCAACACTGGGTCCCTATGCTTGAGGCGCCTCCAGCTGGGAAGGGGCCGCAGACCCGCTGCCTCCCCGCCAGCGCCCGGGGGTCAGGGAAACGGGCCACAGGAAACATCGCCCGAGCTGCCTCTTGAGGAAGCGCAGATGTTTAAGCGAAGACGGTAACCTGTCTTCACATCTGGCTTTTCCTCTTTCTCCACAAACATTTCCAGTCGCAGAAATGTATGTTGGGGAGAGAAATACAACTGCAGTCCCTTCAGAAAAACCAACACAATTCTGTTCAGCCTGAAAACAATCAGTATACACAGGACCCACGTAGAAAACCAAGATCCCTGCTCGTATTTTGCAGGTTTCCCCGATCTGCATCACGCCTAATGGATGCCTCGGCTCCGTGCAGTCACAGCCGGTGGTGCCGCTGAGCCCTCACTGTCGCTTTCAGCTGCCGATGTGATTTTAAGGCTTAAGCGCTTCTACCACCCTCCCCGCAAAGTTTAAAATCTGGCCTGAAAACAACTTTAAAAGCTATTTACCTTTCAGTCTATTTTACTTCGGCTACAAAATGTCAACGACGTTACAATAATTAAAGGCCAGAACGCGGCTTAAAGGGGTTTCTTTTTAGAGAAACCTGGAGCCTCTTACCCAGGGAGCTCGCGGCCCCGGCCGGGCCTGCTGTCCGGGGCGCGGGCGGTGACGGCGGCCCCGGGAGACACCGGTCCACGGGCATGGAGGCGGGGCGCGGCTGCAG